CTGAAGAAGAATTGATGCTTTTGAGTTGTGGTGCTGGTGAAGAATGCTGAAAGTACCATGGACTGCTAAAAGAACTAACAGATCTGTCCTGAAGGAAGCGCAGCCAGAATGCTCCTTGGAAGCGAGAATGGCCAGACTTGTTTCACCTACTTTGGTCATGTTCTCAGAAGGGATCATTCCCTGGAGAAAGATGTCATGCTTGGTAAGGGGTAGGGTTGACAAAAGAGAGGAAGGCCTTCAATGAGATAGATTGACACAGTGGCTGCTACGATGGCCTCAAGTATAACAAGGATCATGGAGTTGGCGCGGGACCAGGCAGTATTTCATTCTGCTGTGCATAGGGTTGCTATGAGTTGTACACAACTTGACGGCACCCAACAACAACAACAACGTGCCAGGCACTGTTCTGGCATATAGGGAGTGGCTGAATCTCACAATAATCTTAAAAACCAAAACCAAACTCATTGGTGTTGAGTTGATTTCACTCACAGTAACCCCTCCTTGGGTTTCCAAGGCGGTTATCTCTATGGAAGTAGATTGTCCCATCCTCCTTCCAAGGAGTGGCTGGTGGGTTTGAACTGCCAGCCTTCTGGCTAGCAGTCAACTGCTTCAGGCACTACACCACCAGAGCTCCTGCAATAATCTTATTAGGTAGAAATTTTTATCATCCCCCTTTAACAGATGAGGAAGCTGAGGAACAGAAAGTTAATAAGAATTTGCTAAAAGTCACACAGCAAGTAAATGGCAGAGCAGGGATTCAAACCTAGGTGGTCTCATCCCAGTTTGCACTCATTACTGTTGTCAGCTGCTGTCAGGAGACCCTTGACTCATGGCAACCCTGTGTGTTACAGAAAAGAACTGCTCCATAGGGTTTTCTTGGCTGTAATCTTTACTGAAGCAGTTCACCAGGCTTTTCTTCTGTAGAGCTACTGAGAGGGTTCAAACCACCAACCTTTAGATTTAGCTGTCTGCAAACTGTTTGTACCACATTATATTATGAAGCCTTTCAGATATGAGTACAATATCTATATCCATATGTATGTGTGTCTGTATATTAAGAGTTTTTTCCCAATAAAAAGTCATATGTGACTTCTGGTAAGATGGAGGAATAGGCAGACAAGCCACACAGACCCTCCTCAACAAAGAAAAGAGAAACCAATTGACAGAGATACAGAAGATAACCCTGGAGCCCTGAGCTTTGAAAGGAAGTATACAAAAGTGGATTAGGCACCAACAATTAGTGGAAAAACCTGAACGAAAACAGTGAGTACAGAGACAGTCGGAGCGGTGAACTGCCAGCTATTCTGATGGGACCAACAGCCTGAATATTTCCAAGTGGTGTTGAGACGTGAGAATCGACCTCAAGATCAGCCCTGTTGCCAAGGGCTGCAGGGACAACAGCACTGGTAGCCTGTGACAAGGAAGGGAAACAGCAAGGAGGGAGACAACCTCAGCTGTTGACTTTTTGCTTTCCGGAGGGCGCAGCCATTTTGATTGTTTATAAGTGGTGGCCATTTTGGATATTTAAAGTGACCAAGGGCACAGCCATTTTGGATCTTAAAGTGACAGCATTCTCATTAGGATTCCTAGGATCTAAGAATGGGCTTTGTTTGCCACGGATGGCAGGGACATATGAGACACTGACAACAGGAAAGGAGACAGACAGGTGGTGAGTGTATAAGTGCTGTCAACTACTGAATAGAGGAGCACAGCACAGTACCCTGCTTACATAGATAACATACAAATAAAACAATGAAAATGAAAATCATGGGCAAGTCACTCCAACGTACAATCACCGATTGAATATAAACACAAAAGGTCACAATGCCTCAGAGACAACAGAGCATCACAGTCTACACAAGGAAGCAAGATAAAGCAGGAGAACCAAGGGAACAGTATACAGAACCAAAACACATCCTTGAGGAAGATGCAGCATTGGAACTCCCTGATAAAGAATTCAAAAGAATTATATTTAGGTTATCTTCAACGAATTGAGAGGCAGATCAAGGAAAACACTGACAAAATTGAGGAAAACACAGAGAAAACTCTAGAACAATTTCAAAAGACAATACAAGAACAAAATGACAAAAATAAATGAAAAATCAGAAATGACACAAAATCTACATACAGAAATCCAGAAGACAAATACTAAATTTTCAGAAATAGGTAAGACACTGAACAGGCAAAGGAGTAGAAGTGAATCAATGGAAGACAGAATTAGTGAGACTGAAGGCAAATACCTGAATATTTCTTTGGAAAGGGATCAATCAGAAAAAAAGATCAAAACAAAATGAAGAAAGCCTAAGGTTCATGTGGGATACCATCAAAAGGAATAACCTACATGCCATTGGAATTCCAGAACAGGAAGAAACAAATAAAACCACAGAGAAAACTGTCGAAGATTTGTTGGAAGAGAATTTTCCTGGTATGATGAAAGATGAGAATATATCCATTCAGGTAGTCCAACGAACCCCAAACAGGACAGACTTCAAAAGAAAATCACCAAGACATATCATCATCAAACTCACCAAAACCAAAGACAAAGAAAGAAAGCATCCTTAAAGCAGCATGGCAAAAACAAAAAGTTACCTACAAGGGGTAACCCTAAGACTAAGCTTGGATTTCTTGGCAGAAACCATGCAGGTGAGAAGACCCTGAAAGAGAAAAATTTCCAACCAAGAATTACGTACCCACCAAAACTGTCCCTTCAAATATGATGGTGAAATTAGGACATTTCCAGATAAGCAGAAATTAAGGGAATTTATTAAAATCAGACCAATCTTACAAGAGATGCTAAAGGGAGTCCCTTGGACAGAGAACCAACAACAGCAAACAACAACTGACCATTAATACACATGATGACATAACCCAGAAACCAACCCAGCTATGGAAGTATCCAAAGTAAAAAACTCTACAAGATTGTAAACAGGGAACCCGATACATCATTTGACAAAGGAGGACAACTACAAACCAAAAAGAGGGAAAAAACTGTGTTGTTACAGAACTTCTAGACAGTAGGGAAGTCAAGACAACTACAAGATAGAACAGACTGTTCTAAACTTGGGAAGAAAACTATAAATCACAGGGTAACCTCAAAGAAAAATGATAACCCTTCAAATCAAAATAAAAAGGAGGACCAGCACAAATATTTAGCAAATACTAAAACAATAGCAACGAAGGAAGTGATAACATGATTCATAAACAAAACAAGCTCAGCACAGAAAATTATATGGAACAAAGAAATCAACAACAAAAATGACAGCAACAAATTCATATTTGCTGATAATTAATGCTATGCAGCAATAAAGAATAATGTACAGTCTGCAAAACACTGCATAATATGGATGAACTTAGAGGACATTATGCTGAGTGAAATAAGTCAATCACAGAAGGACAAATACAGTATTAGTTCATTGCTGTGGAGGGTCAAGGAAAGGTTTATATATGGAGGAAAACTTTCTGTTAGTTGCCAGGGGTGGGAGGGGAGAGGAGGGAACACTGAAAAAAAAAAAAAAAAAAAAGAAATGCATTGACCTAAAAGAAAAAAAAAAAAAGAAGTCCTATATGACACTAATATTTTTTCCTAAATATAAAATATATGTACTTCTGATTGAAAGAAAACCATAGGAAAGCTTAAAGAAAAATGATTAAAATTACTCACAGCCCTATTAATATTTTATTTCAAATCCTAATCCCACAAACACTTGATGTTGTATGCACCCAGAGTAGCAGTTCTGAGACAGTGCTACTCTCGATTTTCACTTAACACTTGCCAGTCTAAGTGAATCACAAAATCCACCACTCCTTCAGAGCTAACACAACATATAAACACAGCATGTTAAATAGTTCAGCAGAAACACCACCTTGGTTCCTGCTTCTGTACATACCTGCTGCAGCATTTCTTCTGTGGCATTCAACTTCTCTCTGTGCTCTTCAAGACAAAACTCCAAATCTCGAATCTTCTCTCCCTGAGCCTCTACCTGGTCTGTTAACACACTGACCTGCATTTAGAGCAAAATACTGCAGTGAGAAAGAATTCTGGATCTCCACTCCATACTTTATTTCTTTAAATAGAACAAAAATTAGAATAATCTAGCCATTCATTTGGTTGAAAACAAAAACTCTGACAGTTAATGAAAAGGCAGCAGTCCTTCACATTCTTATTTACACTGCTTTTTCAACTAAAGGATTCCTCTTCAGTGTGTATACAAATTATCTTCTTGGCAGGTTATAATATTGGAAGTTGAGAGGAAATGAAGTTAATACTTAAAACAGAAATTATCAAGGGCTGTTCAAATTTCCTACTTTAAGAAGAATAAAGAAAGAGACCCAGGAAACTCAAATCCCATGAAATCTTTTAAGATCAAACTGTTTACAAAAATCTGCTCAAGAAAACTCAAAATCATAAAAAAGACCAGGCTGACAGGTCTGATGAAGACTGACGGAACCCCCGAGACTATGGCCTTTAGACACCCTTCAAGCTAGGAACTGAACTTAACCCCCATGACTCAACTGGCAGCCAGACAACAAACAAGCGTGTAACGTGAACAGGAATATCAGGAAGGCATGTACTCATCAGAACAATCAAGCATATGGGATCAAGAGGACAGCATCTGTCGATCCAGGGGTAGAGCTAGGAAGGCAAAAGTAGATGGGAAGGAGTAAAAAAGGGAAGAACACTGCTGCAGTGTGGGGACTGCAGTCAATGTAACAAAGCAGAATGTGTACAGACTATTGAATGGCAGCCAATCCGCTCTATAAACCTCCACCAAAATCACAATTTAAAAAAATAAGAAAGAAAAGAAAATCTGTCCAAGGTCAAGGTATAACTTATCATACTCTAGTAGGGAGCTCTGGTAGCAAGGTGCCTAAGGCACTTGACTGCTAACCAGAAGTCTGGCGGTTCAAACCCACCAGCCACTCTTCAGAAGGAAGATGGGGCAATCTACTTCCGTAGTGATACTGCTTCGGAAACCCAAGGAGGAGTCGCTTATGAGTCGGGTCCGACTTGACGGCACATAACAATAACAATAACAATAACAACAGTAGTCCATGCGGAACCCCCGGGTTAGCTCTTAATCTTTGGTATTTACTGAAAATCACTGTGAGTTTTTCCTCTAAAGATCACCAATCTACTACCAGCTATAGTTTAGTTCATGTATCTCAAAATATCAAAGTGAAAATATTTGTCAAAAATTTAAAACAGACTCTCAAATTTAGCCTATAAGCAAGATTTCATTCTCAGTAGTATTCTGTTTGGTCTACAGTATCATTTGAAAAAAATGAAAAATCAAAAAGTATGTATGTATTTTTATAAAAACCTGATTTTCAAAAAACTTTTTATTGTGATATGGGTGAAAGTTTACAGAGCACATTTGTTTTCCACTCAACAGTTCATAACACAATTTGTTTCATGACATTTATCACAATCCCTACAATGTAACAGCTCTCTTCCCACTTCCTCTCTGTAGTTACCTTTTCCCTGTGTTCCTCTTTCCTATGCATTCCTGCCCATTGAATTTTCTCCCTGTGCAAATGCTGCTCTCCTGATCTCCCAAGGGTGATTGTACTAAGGTGTGCACTTACCTGGTGTAACTGTTTACCTCGTAGGCCTATCTATTTACTGTTTGGCTAAAGGTTAAGCCATAGGAGTGAGTCAATTCAGGCTCAAAGGGTGACTTGGGACCATAGATTCAGGGGTTTCACCATTCTCTATCAGACCAGTAAGCCTGGCATTTTTTATGATTTTGTGTTTTGTTTCACACTTCTCTCCCCCTCTATCCAAGATCTTCAATTTTTATCCCATTCCATGGTTGGTACTGGTAGCCAGGCACCATCTAGTTCTTCTGCCCTCAGGGTCATGTAGGCTGAGATTCCCATGGTCCACTAATCCCTTGGACTAATTGTTTCCACGTGCCTTTGATTTTTTTCACTCTTCTTTGCACCAAATGAAGAAATATCAGTAGTTATAGCTTAGATGGCTGCTCATAAGCTTTTAAGATCCCAGCCACTACTCACCAGAGTAGGGTGCTGAACGATGTTTTTGTGTAGTATGTTATGCCAGTTGTGATTGACGTCCTAAAAACCTGATTTCCTAATATTAAAAATCAGATCAGATGACATACCTGTATTCAGAATAGCCGCTTAAGAACTGAGGCTGACTGGGGTCCCTTTAGACTAGGTGTATACAATTTCATTCTGCCACAGTCCCACCCACTCCCCATTGTGTAAAGATGGCCTACTGCACTTAGTTCTGTTAGCAGTCTGGTTTCTGGAAGCCATCTCTATGTAAAATAAAATCCTTGTTAGCATGCCATTAGGAAAAATCAACATTTAAAACTCACTTACCTGAAGGACAAGGGATTCTTTATCATTTTCTAAACGTGAAAGCCTTTCTTGATACACATCTCCATTCCCAGGTAGGTGTCCATTTGTCTGAAAAAGAAAATAATATGTGTAAGGCTAACTGTCTTTAAAACTGATGAACTATGAGTAAATGATAATTGCCTATGTTTTGAAATCCAAGGAACCTGAACTGAACACAGCTGTCACTGGCATTAAAACAAATATGAGAATACAATTTGGTTCATTTATCTCAAATAGGTAAGACAGGCAGATTAGTCATCTAGGAATTTTTTCAACAAATGAGGCAATTTCTTTTCTTTTCTTTTTCTTTTTTTTTAAAATTGTGATTTGGGTGAAGATTTACAGAGCAAATTCACTTTCCATACAGCAGTTCACATACACTTTTGTCTCATGACATTGACCATGGTTTACCACAATGCAACAGCTCCCCTCCCACCTTCTCCCCACAGTTACCTCTTCCCAGTGTCCATCCCTCCATGGCCTCCTGCCCCCTGAGCTGTCTCCCTGTGCATAAGCAGCCCTTCTTTCTCCTACGATTGTTACGAGACAATTTCTTATGAAGAAGCAAATAATGACCCACAAGGAACAGTGGCTCTGATATTCTTCACTGACAACAGATGCATATGCAAAGATATGCAAGAATGTGTCCAGGGTACACCATTCTTATTTTCCCCAAAAGTTCAGTACCATTACTTCAGAGTATGTGTGTGCTGGGAGTGGTGGGGGAGATGACCTGTCCCACCCTTCTTCCTCCTCTCTTCCCCGGAGTTCCATAGCCAGAGGTGTCAGTGCCTGCCCTTAAATGGGAGACCGCAGGGGCAGCTCACACCATAGGCTTCTTTCTGTCTAAGTCTCCAAATCACAGGACAAGGCTTCCCTATGTCTTTGAAGGCTGTCTTTCTTCCCCCTAAAACTTAAAACACTCCAGTCCACAATGACTTCCCCTGATAGCAATGACTGGCTGTGCTTCTCAGTGTTTTATCACTTTCTTTCTTGAGTGCATTAACTTCTTGTGAGTTTACTTGTTCATATAATGTTACGTGAAGCTTCTGGGTAGCCTATAAACCAGTACTGTCTTGCAATCTTGACAGCATCTGACCCAGTGTTTATATACGGATGCTCACTCTTTTTTCCATCCTTCATATCTCTCTTTGATCAAATTTGGGTATATTTATGCCTGGAATGGGGTTCCTGGACGGTGCAAATGGTTAAAAGGTTGGAGGTTCAAGTCCACTCAGGGGTGCCTCAGAAAAAAGCCCCGGTGATATATTTAAAAAAAAAAAATCAGCCACTGAAAACCCTGTGGAGTGCAGTTGTATTCTGATACACATGGGGCTACTATGAGTAACAGTTCACTCAAGGGCAACTGGCTGTTTATGCGTGGTGTAAATGCCAACACCAAAACCAAACACAGCCACCGAGTCAATTCCGACTCATAGTGACACCCACTGGGTTTCCAAGGCACTAACTCTTTATGGAAGTAGATCGCCCAGTCTTGCTTCTATGGAGGGGCTGGTGGGTGTGAACCACCAGCCTTCTGGTTAGCAGTCAGATGTCTTAGGTATTCTGCTACCAGAGAACCTTATAAATGTCAAAGGGAGTACAAATTGGAAAATGAAATGCAGAATTTTTTCTCAGCTGTCCTATATCTGCAAGTCATTAAGACGACACATGAAAAGGTTCCTAGAGAGTGAAAACATAAAAACATCATTTTGAAATACAGTAGTATATGTGATATGTTCTCTTGTTATCTCATTAAGTAGTTCATAACCACAATATGTAATCCTAACAGAATTTCCTGATTCCTCATTCAAATACAATGGAAATAAAAGCCAGTTGGTGTCCAACATGGTTAAATGGGGCTATTCAGAGTTCATCTGAAAAAGCAAATAATGCCTTCAGATTTAGAACCAGAGAAGATACAAAATATACATTTTTAATCCCCAGGGCATATCTGATGGGACACTTGTTTATTTATTTTCATAATTAACTGGTATTATTGTCTTACCTCTCTAATTAATGCATTTTCCAGTATCAATTCTGGAAATAACAAAGTTATGTGTTGGGAGGAAAAAACAGACAAAGTTTAATGATAAAATTCCAGGATATTTCTTTGAAAAATTTAGATTCATTATCCCTGGATACATTTTCCAAAAGACCACAAAAGAAGCAGAAGCTAATTCAGTAAGTGTGCAATGTGTATTTAGAGTGGATGAAATTTTTAACATAAACTACTTGACAACATGCCTGCACAATTATCATAGCATAATTCTGTTCATGGTACTAAGTGCAGTGTCCAGAATCAAATTATAAGTATTGTAGAAAGTCTGCTGGAATGAACTGGATGATTATCTTCTCTGGGGACTACCAGGAAAATGAAATTTAAATAACTTCTGGAGGTCAGGTTTTTGGAAAAGAGCCAGGATGTATAATGCATGTTCTCAGTCTCAGTAAGTTCTGAGCCTGGCCCTGTACTACTTTAAAGTTCTCATTTTTATTATGAACATTAACAGCTGTTTTAAAAACTCCATACAAGCAACGTTTTATAAACAAAACATATATGGTGGTTCAAACCCACTAGCCACTCCTCGGAAGGAAGGTTGGGCAATCCTACTTCCGTAGTGATACTGCCTCGGAAACCCAAGGAGGGGTCGCTATGAGTCGGGGCCGACTTGACGGCACATAACAACAACAACAACAACAACATACTTCATTAGACAGAAAAGTTTTCTGCTCAGTGAGGACAAGAAACAAAACTTGCCTTTCTCCTGACTGAAGGAAAATAGCAAGATAAAGCCGTGTTTCTCCCCAGGCTACTCCATCTGATGTAGAAATGAGACATTTTCCAAGATTATCCCAAAATAAAAACAAGTACTGAAAATTAATCATGAGCATACTTAAGTTTCTTAACACTGTACTGATATTTATAAGAGTGCATCATGCTCAAGGTTTATTATTTTAAAACACTAAGCCACTAAAGGAAAATAAAGCAAAAGTTAAGTGTCACTAATGGAACAGTTACATACTTTTAAAGCATAGGTTAACTTATTCAAGTAGGTAAAGGTCTATTCTTTCTAAATATTACTTATATTTCAAAATTGTTAATAATTTTGTTACCTTCCTCTTTAAAATGTCAGAGGGAAGTAAAATGCATCAGGCAAATGCCCTGTTACGTTGTTATTAGTTGCTGTCTAGTTGATTCTGATTCATAGTGACTCCCTTTTTTTTTTTTTTTTTAAATTGTGATTTGGGTGAAAAGTTTACAGAGTAAATTCACTTTCCATACAGCAGTTCACACACACATTGTCTCATGACATCAACTACAATTTACCCCAATGCAACAGCTCCCCTCCCACTTCCTCCTCATAGTGACCTCTTCCTTGTGTCCATCCCTCCATGAACTCCTACCCCCTGAGCTGTCTCCCTGTGCATAAACAGCCCTTCTTTCTCCCATGATTGTTCTCTCCAAGGAGTGTATCTACTTCAGGTAAATGTTCAACTCATATGCCTGTCTTTTGTTTGGCTGGAAGCCACAGGTGTGGGTCCAATTCCAGATCTGAAGGGCAGCTAGGGGTCATAACTCAGTGGTTCCATCAGGCTCTATCAGACCAGCAAACCTGGTCCATTTTTTTTTCCCCCAAATGATTTTGAGTTTTGTTCCACATTGTTCTCCCACTTTATCCAGGATCTTCTACAGAACTCCTCTGAGTTGAGGCTATCTTGCATAAGCTCCCTAATATCCTTTCTTTTGCATTACACAATATTATATCTTCCCTCTTACTTCTTTCCTTCTTTTCTTCTTTCTAGTCTCAAGGGAATTGGGTCTTAATGTCTTCTTAAAAGCTTAGCATTCCACTTCTGCTTTTGAACCTTTATTTTCTGTTCCCCTGAGACCTACAATCATTACCTCTATCCTTCTTAATGAAATTTTTTCCATTCTCCTTTCCAACATCAACATGCGCCTCCCACTGCACTTATCTCCCACTCACCTCTGCCTATAATAAACCTACCCAACTTTCATGACCAGTTCCCACTCCTTCCTTCTTATATTATGCCAGTCTCTTCTCCTTTTCTACTGGCTGTCTTTCTGTGTTTCAATCAAAGCATGTCTGATCTCACTCAGTGCCGTTGGGTCAGATCAGACTCATAGAGACCTCTCCTTGGGTTTACGAGGCAGTATCTCTAAAGAAGTAGACTGCCCAACCTTCCTTCCAAGGTGTGGCTGGTGGGTTTGAACTGCCAGCCTTTTGGTTAGCAGTCAAATGCCTTAGGCACTATGCTACCAGAGCTCCCACGTCTGGTCTATACTACACAATTTGGTCCTTCATCATGTTCTGCATAGTGAGTAGCTCCACAGTGAGTTTATGTGAACTGATCATTTATTCTTCCTAATAGTTTCTCAGTGTAAAACTAAGTCTTACATTTCTTTTCACTCTGGCATGATTTTATAAAATTCTGAGCACATAATTAGAAGTGTACTTATTTATAAACTCTTGTTGAGTCTTTTTGACTTTAAAAGCATTTAACACCAGCCTAAATTACTTTAACTACTCAAAATCCTAGAGAGGCCTTCAAAATATCTTTTCACCACAGCTTATGATGAAACCTAGTCACTGATCACATTCAATCCAATCAAAAATTTAAGTCAAAATTGGAATCAACTTGGTGACTTGTAGTGTATCCATCTAACAGTGTGTGGGGAGGCAGGGGTCGTGGCACACACTGGAGGGCCAAGTCAGGCAATTCAGCTCTACTGTAACATCGATCATTTGATTTAATTAAGTTCATGAGTTTCACCAGGTTTCCCTGGAGTGATGGGAAAAACATGTCGAAAAAGCTTATTCTTCATAAACTTATAGAATCCTAGACTTAGTCAAAGGAACTCTAGAGGTGTAGTAGTTAAAGCATTCGCTGCTAACCAATAGGTGAGTGATTTGAACACACCAGCCACTCTGTGGCAGAAAGATGAGTCAGTCTGCTTAGAAACCCTATGGCGCAGTTCTACTGTCATAAGGCCAGTATGAGTCAGAATGGACTCTATGGTGGTGGGGGTGGGGGTGGTAGACCTA